CCGAGTAAAGTATGCTGTCTGCATAAAGGAGCTTTCTAGCTGTAGCCATATTCTTTCTTATATTATTCATAAAAAAGGAAAATAAAACAGGGTCTACGGCGGAGCCCTGGGGGACTCCTTCATCTTCAGGAATCTTTACTACATCTGAGTTTTACCTCCTAACAGCAGCTCAACAAACACAGCAGTGTGCTTGCCGTCCACTGTCCTTTGTTACCATCAGAGATGCTGATGACCCAAGCTCTTCATCGATCCTGATACTTAAGGTCCACACACAAAGTTTGGATTCAGACGGCAGATGTTCAGATCTGAGAGGTCAGAGGTTGCTTTCCAGATTTTAGGGATGATATCATCCTGGATACTCAGATTAAAAATATGAACAATAGGCTCAGAAGTAAAGTCAGCTGACTCAGACTGTCAGATGGCTTTTTTGGAGATTTCAAAGCTTTATGGATCGCAATAATAGAAATATGTCTAAAGACAAACGGGTCCCTCCGCCTTCAGTGATCTGCAGGATACGGCGTCCTGATGCTCGGAGAGGCAGGTGGTGAAGTTTGAATGTGGCTTTCGAGGAGTTTTATTTTCTTATCGTTTGCATAGATGCAATTCATCAGGAACCACGATGAGGAAAACACAGAAAGAGCTGCTCTGTGTGCAGGCTGGCAGTTTGAAGGCTTCGGGTCAGCAGTCGGCATTCAGACTGCTTCCTGTGATCGAGCTCTTCATGCTCCGAAGAACTGACACAGGTGATGATGATGACGATCATTATTCTTACACTCTGCTGGAGCAGCTTTGCATCAGTCACAGTTCAGAATAATCCTTCTTTATCTCATACCACCCCCCTTTCAAAGACAACTTTTTTCTGATTGGCTGGTCCGTGTAAACAGCAGGTTTGAACCTCGGATGGGTGGAGCCTCTCTGTATGACATCACACAGATGCAAGAGTAGAAAAAACTGCGATGAACGTGTTCAGGCCTGCAGGAGCTCGTCAGGAGTCATGTGACAGGAAATGAGGAGAAAGAGGAGAGTAGCACTTTTCCGGTTGTTGCACCAGCTGAGGTGTCTGACTCCATCATCCTGGGGAGGGGAGGAAAAGGAGGAAGAGGAGGAGGGTTCAGCACCAGCTGTCAGCCGAAGCAGGTGAAAGAGTGTAAGCATCACGCCTGTTACCGAGGCAACTGTAGTGCGTTCCCACCTCCTTCGATGTCACGGGCATGTTAGCACGGGTCGAATCAGCTGCATCATGGCTTCTCTGAGCTTTTATCTTCATTTTCTCTGAATATATCCTTCGTTTCGGCGGCCGTGGAGGTACGGCTGTTGGTGGAAACCTTCACTCACATGTGTGCGTGTGTCATATCTGAGAACTGTTTCAAAAGCTTTTCTCCCCACAGTGTTAAACCCTCATCTTTGTGTTGCAAAGATTTCATCCATCACAGTGCTGCAGCTCCTGACAGGGCTCTCCTCCTGTCCCAGCATCCTCCTCGGTCACACCAGTAAACATAAAAAACTGTTTTTGGACGTTTTCTGAAAACGAGGAAGTGATTGTGCTGATGTGATGCTGAGAGGAAGTGCGTTTAATGTGAAATCCGCTGATAACTCGAGCAGCGCGTCGATCCACTGTCTGATTGACGCGGTCCTCCCATCAACCACCTCTCTCTGCCTCTGAGAGAAAATAAACTCTGAACATTAGAAACATTAGAAACTGCTCGTGTTTGTTTGAAGGATAAAAGTGAACCCATATGATTTCATTCTGCATCAAGCTGCAGTGAGCCCGCAGACGCCATGACGAACGCGCCGAAGGAGGCGCACGGCAACAGAAAGGATGCCAGGGCAGAGGGGCACTCTGGGAAATGAAGTCACTGCAGTTCTTTTCATCACAATCTGATTTTTGCACGTCGACGATGTCGGTGTGAGGCTGCGACCTCGCACACACACACACACACACACACACACACACTGCACGTGAGAAGCCATCTTCCTCCCCCATCGTGCTGTTGCCATGGCAGCACCGGCGTAACGTGTGGTCCTTCAGATCGAAGGTTTCCTCTGCAGCTCAGCTGACCAATCAGAGCGCACCCTCATGTACACACAGTCCTGGATGATGTATCATCTGTGATCTGCCTCACAGGTGCTAACATGATAGGAAAAGTGCGTTTTTCCTATCATAAAAATGAGATCCTCTTACCTCTTACTTTGTTTTGGTAAAGACTATCAACAAAAATAAATATAATAAAAATTGTTTGTTTTCTTTTAAAAACTAAAATAAGACTAAATAAGACATGATGCACAGGTTCGTTTGATGATTAAAACTCTTGATGCTGTTTTTCCTCCTGACTTTCCAGGTGGTGATGATGATGTCAGAGCAGCTGGAGCTCAGTGATGATGTAGGTGTCCTGCCCCCCCATGAGGTGGAGCCCCCCAGGGAGGAGGATGGACCCTGCCCCCTACCCTTCAGGTGAGAAACTGCAGCTTGTTCCTGAGCCAGTGTGAAAGCTGGTGGAGGCTGAGGACAGGAGGACGGCCGGACGCTCGCTTACACTCAAAGTGTGAGCGAAACAGAAGGAGGAGCCCACAGCCTCATTAGTCCTGACAGAGTGTGTGTGTGTGTGTGTGTGTGTGTGTGTGTGTGTGTGTGTGTGTGTGTGTGTGTGTGTGTGTTTGGCAGCAGATTAAAGCTGAGGAGACGTGCAGGAGAGACAGTCGGCAGTGAGAGGAAGCCTCAGTGTCTCTCGCTGCGCTCTTATTCCCGTCACGTATGAAGCAAGCTGCAGTCACAGTCTGTGTGTGTGTGTGTGTGTGTGTGTGTGTGTGTGTGTGTGTGTGTGTTTGCACCACGTGCAATCAGCTCACGTTTCCTGGCAGCAGAGAAAGCCTGAGAGGCCAAACAGGAGGAAAACCCCAGAAACACTCTAAGGCTGCGTTCACTCTGCAGGTCTTGATGCTCAATTCCGATTTTTTGATCAAATCCCATTTTTTTGTCTGCTCGTTCACACTACAGATAAAATGCGACAGCAAACGCGCTCTAGTGTGAACGCTCAAAGCGCCGCGTGCACAAAAGAAGACGTCACACACAACGCGCTCTGTTTAGACCCAGAGCAACAGCATGTTTGACTGATGGCCTTAATATAAAGACTTGTTTTGGACTTAAGTTATTTTGTTCTTTACATTTGGCCTAATAATGATCCGTACTGCTGTTTTAGAGGAGCGGAGCTTCAAAGGATCGATTTCTGTCAGAATCTGCAGGTTATGCAGGACAAATAAAATGTTCACGTTTCTCCAACGTTGTCTTCCCAACAGTTTCAGGAAGCGTTCGCGATGTTGGACGCTGATATTTGGCGTCTGTCTTGTGTCAGTGACGTAAAAGACGGATTTAATGCGACCTGACCATCAAGCAGCAGTCGCTTTCTGAAACATCAGATATGTGTCGGATTCAGCACCACGTACCAAAGTGACCCAGATCGGATTTGTGCCGTTCACGCTGTCACACCATGATCGGATATGAGTCGCACAGGGTCAAAGAAGTCGGATCTGATGCGCTTTCGCCTGCAGTGTGACGCAGCCTAAGATTCACTGAAGCTTTCAGACTAACGATCGTCCCTGATATAGATATAAATATGAAGATGATTGTATCTCCGGCCCTGAGGTGGCTCTTCATGTTAAACATGACCAGAGTTCGTAACGATGAGCCTGCAGTTTGTGCAGTAATCCTGCAGGCCGCTTGAACACTCAGTTTGTCAGTTTTTTCTGCACTACGATCTCTGTGACGTCAGAGAAGGTGTGGTTGTTACCGGAACCACCAGTAAACAGAAACAGCTGGAGGAACAGTTTGCAGCTCCGTCACATGATCAGGTATAAAAAAAACATCTTAGAGAGAGAGAGTTTCACCAATATGCCAAAAACTGGGATGACCAGAAGTCGGCGTGGCGTCCACACCTGCAGGTTAAAGCTCCACGCAGAGAAGAGGCCAGATGTGACGACAGAGGCGAAACAGCGCCGTCTCGGGGGACGACCGTGGCTCAGGGGATTGGGAAGCTCATCTGTAACAGGAAGGTTGTCAGTTCGATCCCCGGGCTCTCTGTCCTGGTCGTTGTGTCCTTGGGCAAGACACTTTACCCTACCGCCTACTAGAGATGGACCGATCTGATATTACATATCGGTATCGGCCCGATACTGACGTAAATTACTGGATTGGATAGCGGAGAGAAAAAAAAAAAGTAATCCGATCCATTAAATATCAAAAAAGCACCTCACAGAACTTGCGACACGGCGTAACTCGGCTCATAACTGTAGCACGTCGCAGCAGTGTGGTCACGTGATCGAGCGGCTGTGGCGTGCCCTGTGGTCTGGTTGAGTATTTGTAGCCTCGCTACCAAACCAGCATTTCATCAACAGATATATGGAGCGACTGCCTCTCCTGCTGCTACTTCAATCATGAAACTGATCAGTGATCAGCTGATCGGCTCTCTTCTTTGTTTTTGGCCCACTTTGCACCAGAAAGAGGAAACCAGCGGCTGAACAACAGCAGCACGTTTAAGCTTGATCAGCTGCTGTTAGAATTTATTTAATATTACTTTCTACTCCAGGATCTTTTTCTACAGCTGATGCTGGTAACTGTGCAGGGGCGGATCTAGCAAAGTTTAGCCAGGGGGGCCGATAGGGCATGAACAGGGAAAAGGGGGCACAAAGACATACTTTTCTTTCTTATTCTCATTTAAAATGTCGAGCTTTTAATAAATAATTATCTGACACCCAAAGTTTTAATCTGATGTAAAATATATAGAAGTCCTTTACTGTATATAGTAACTGTTAAGTCTAATATACCCTAGTAAGCTGTAGTACTTTTTCCATCTGTGCAGTTCTGTTGAAGAAAGATGTTGAATCTATTTAATATTTCTTGAAAAATAATTTATTTCTGTGCATTTTTTTCACACTGCATCAAATTAAAGTTGATTACGTCGATTAAGCATCATGAGGTGGGGGGTGGGGGGGTTCATTTTTGAGGGAATCTAAAAGTGTGTCGACTAAACCCGGCTTGGCACCTGAACAACAATTTTCTAATCTGTTGTGCGGCGTGAACACGTCCTCCTTTCTCTGCCCCACTTTCCCTGCACGCTCCAACAGTTTGCACAGTTACTTCTTTTATGGTGTTTTCAGTGGGAGAGGGAAGCGTGCCAGTCGGCCTCGGAGCTGCAGTGGCCGATGGGAGTCGTTAATAACGCTCATCAGCATCGCTCGCGGTCAGACCTCCTCCTCAGCTCCTCATTTGTTTTCCTCTTTGCATAAACCTCACATGGATTCACCCCTTCCTGCCCACAGTGCATTTACATGAGCAGGAAACCTGACACGAGGTGTGTGTGTGATCAAACTGCAGAGCCTGAGCTGTGTGTCAGAAGGTGGATTAACACCTCGGCTCAGCTCTCCACGCTGATGTTTCCTCACTCTTCATGTTTTTCACGTGACCGGTCAGACGTTTCTTTCCTCACGCCGCCGTCAGCAGCCAAGCAGGAGTTTATGAAAACATGGGAGACGACAGACGCGACAGGTAGAGACAGACGCTCGGCTCTGGGTCGGAGAAAAACTTCCTCCCATCAATTTGAATCAGAGATTTTTAAACTATGTGAATTTTCGTAGTTTTCCCAGAAGTCAGTCGTTGGTGTGGTGACGATGATTTTTAATGATTTGTCTGTGATTTCTCTCTGAAATCAGCCGCAGACCTCGTGTTTGTTCAGTTAGTTTGGGATCGAGGATGAAAATCAGCTGACAGTGAAACTCTCCTGTTTGCATAAAATGACTGAAGAAGATCATTAATGACGTTAGAGCATCTGCAGACGTCTGTCAGACACGAGGGACGCGGTGGGTTTGAAACGGTGAGGTGACCTGAGGGTCAGCTGTGTCGCTTCCATCATCTTCTGCTGCTTCTGATCAGCCGAACATCTGTGACCTCCAGAGTGTTTGCAGGTGCTCGGGTCAATCCTTCTTTAACTCAGAAACAAGCTGTTTTCGCTCCTCCCCCTTTAAGTCAAGTTTGTTCTGATTGGCTGTCCCTCACAGATAGCGTTAAAGGCCTTGTTTCTGACAGAGGAGCTGGAGCTGCACAGAACGTGGCGATGGCTCCTCACGAGCCTCAGCCGGGCTCGCATGAGTAAAAGCTGCACTGCTGCAGCTCAAAGAAACATGCAAATGAGCAAAACGTGACCAGCGTCACCATCCGGCGCTGTTGAGGCCTCGGGGGGTCGCACGGGGCCGGTCAGGTGTGTTGTCTGTGTCTGTAGATGGTGGAGGCCACAGTCAGCTGTGAGTGGCTCAGTGTGGAGATAATTATTCTGTGTGTGAAGCACCGTCCTGCAGTTAGAACAGGAGGCTGCAGGAGGGAAACTTCACCACTGTACTCTGTGCATGAATCAGCTTCCAGACTGTGAGCAGTTCTTGAGCCGAGTGCTGGCGCGCTCTTTGGCCGGGAGGTTAAACCTCCGTGTGTGTTGCACTGTGATGACACGTCGTGCTGTGATGTGTCATGAGAGCTTTGAATTTACTGTCCATTCATGTCTGTTTGGATGAGAGACGCCTCTCCCTGAAGATGCTCACAGACACAGTACAGTAGTTTTCCAGGATTCCTGGTTTCTGCACAGAGATTATCCCAGATAGCACAAAATCACTACGTGGAAACTTAGTTAATGCACTCGATTAACTGATCATCAGCAGGTGAGACACCTCAGTGGAAGCAGAAGCTCTGGAGGTTTGCAGGAACAACGTCAGCGGTGATCTTAAGGAAGCAGCTGTTTCTCCTCGTCAAGAGTTACGAGCTCGTTTCCAAACCCTCTGAACGGGCCTCCTTCACTAATATTTGCGTGACTCTGTGTATCGTTCGTAACCATCAGTCCTGAGCAATATTATCTCCATAATGCCCCGCCCCCATTTCTCTGTGTAAGGAAACAGGTGAAGCAGAAAAACTGGTGAAGAGAAGCTGAGAGAGAAGCAGCTTTGCAAAGTGTTTCTACAGGAGTGACGACCGTTTAACAAATAAAGGAATAAATTAGTGCTGAATATGTTATTTCCCCTCAGATAATTGATCCTGTAAGGCAGGGGAACTCCAGGCCTCAGGGGCCGGCTCCTGCAGGTTTTAGTTTAGATTAGTTGATTGCCAGGCGTCTGGAGAACTTCATGTGATGTAAATCAGCGTCTAAAATCTGCAGCCCCCCCCCCTCCGCTGTAAGTGATGAATCCAGCAATGGTAGGAGTCATTTTCAATGAAAGATAAGAACATTTAAGAGATGATGAGGTCAGGGTTAATGGAATATGTTTAATCTGACTGGGGCCACGGTGCGAACCCTGAACACCGTCGTGGTGAAGCGAGAGCTGAGCCTGTTCAGTGTTCACTGAAGGAGGCGGTTGGGGGCGGTGGTGGAGGGAGGAGGAGCCGAGTGAACCATGAATACCAAAGAGCTGCCGCAGAGCTCAGAGAGCTGTGCATGAATAAATGCTGCAAACATCGATGAAGTGAAACAACCTGTGGAGAAGAGTGGACCAGAACTCGTCCACAGCGATGAGACAGAGTGATGAAGTCACTCAGGAGCGATTGTAGTTGTGTGCATTTCCTTCTAATCCAGTGTGTTTGTGCTCTCTGGGACTAAAAGGAGAACTTCTGGTATCACTGGGCCGCTCCCAGTATAGAAACTGCAGTTTGTGTTTGAGTCTAACCGAAGGTGCTGCTGTGTCCCGCAGGCTGCAGCTGATCGACGACTTGTCCTACGAAGACGTGAAGAAGTGTTACAGAGAATCGGTAAGTAAAACCTGCCCTCGCACAGAGCAGCAGGAGGTCCAGAGATGACAGCAGGGCAGCAGGAGTCTCCATGGGGACAGCGGTGTGTTTGTGTGGGTGTTTTGTGGGCAGGATCCACGTGAGTGGACAGAAAAGCTCAGGCGACCATCAGGAAGCAGCAGCAGCTCTAATCCCAAACATTTCTTTGGGTTTATCCGTTAGTTTAATGTTTTAGGACCAACGAGGCAGGATCAGAGAAGACGATGGAGACCTGGGTGTCGAGCTGCCGCTGACTGTTGTTTCAGTCTTTGTTGTCTCAGACAGGAAGAGGAAGGCAGGAAGTCTCGCAGAATAAAGCCGTACAGGTGTACGGGGGCAGGGCGGTGTGTACATGATGTAATGTCTGACCTACATGCGAGGAACCCAAACAATGCTCCAGAAACACGCCGCTCGGTTTGTAGTCAGCTGAGCTGGAGGAAGCGCTCAGATCTTTTGTTTCAGGTGATACAAACTCAAAGCTGTTTCCCGATCACGCCTCAGGAATCAGCGCCAGCCTGTTGAAAGTAAAACACGCACCAGAGACGGGATGGGGTCGAGCTTCTGGGATTATTTCCATAAATAATACACCATGAAATAAAACAACTTTCTGGGTTTTTCCCACTAAAATTATACAGTGAAATAACTTCCTGTTATTTCACTATTAATAACAGGAAGTGACAGGAACGTCTCGGTTTTCACTATAAAACGAACATAAATGTACCATTAAACAAATAACATGAACCGATTTTTATTACAGATAAACTATCCAACAACAAATATACTGTCAATAACAGACAGTATGATGTTTGTTTGAATATAAAGAACATTTATTCATAAATATTCACTCTAATAAAAAGAAACCTTTATTAAACAGGCTGCTGGTTATAAGCCACTAATGTTCTGTTTGTTTTCATATGGAAATAACAGGTGCCATTATATAACCATAAAGATGTTTTATTAAATGAAACTATAAATATGAATCTGTAGCTGATTTGTTTTTTCACTGTAAAGAAAATGTTTCCAACTATAAAATAAGTGAACTATAAAAGCACCGTGTTAATGTGTTTTTATCGTTAGACATATTGGACATTTCTGCCTTAACTATAAAAACACAAACTCTGCGTCTCCTCCGCTGTAGACAAACAGGAAATGAGCTGCACGTCCTTCAGCCGTGATGGGAAACCTTTTGAACCTGGTGTTGTAAACGCTCTCCATGCAAACGTGTAATCGTGTGTTTTTGTGCGTCCACAGACTGTCAGCAAATACAACTCTCAGTACCACAAACTGTTCCAGGCGGTTCCTAAAGAAGAAGTCCTGATGAAAGGTACCGAGTGCAGCACTCACCGCCTGCTTTAGCTCACATGTGAAACCGTCAGCACGACACTTTGAAATCATTATTCGGTTCCTGTCAACGGCACCGCTCGCAAATCTCTCAGGGCGCTGGTATCCAGTCCAAGTCTGTGACCGTGTCGATGGCATGTGTCTAAAACAAATGCAACAAATTCACCCAAAAACGCCTGAAACAGCAGAAATGAGAGTAGACGCCCCGCGGTGACCTCCACTCAGCGAGCTAGCCAGAAATCCCTCAGTAAAGAATGCCGTGAGAACAGTTTCTGCTTCCCAACCGATGTCTGATCTAAACCGTGTCCTGACATCTGCTCATGTGTCTGTCAAACGACCTCAGTCGTTTACGCTAACACGATCCGCTCTCGCTGCAGCGTATTCCTGCGCTCTGCTCAGAGACATCCTGCTGCAGGGGCGACTCTACATCTCCAGGAACTGGCTGTGTTTCTACGCCAACCTGTTCGGCAAAGACATCAAGGTGAGCGATGACATCACCTGTCACATGGCCACTTTGAATCAATTCAGTGAATTAATTTAAAGAAATCCCGTTCGGGGTCGTGGAGCAGGTGGCCCAGGGTTGGACGTCTGACCTTCTCAGGTTCAGCTTCAGGCGCCTCTCACCTGAGAAGCTCTGACTTTGTGCGTTTGTGTTTCCCGAGGCAGGTGTGCATCCCGGTGGTGTCGGTCCGGCTGGTGAAGAAGCACAAGACTGCGGGTCTGGTGCCGAACGGCCTCGCCATCACCATGGATACAGGACAGAAGGTATCCCCGCTGACCTGTCCGAGCATCATGTGATTAATGAGCTTTCTCTTTGCCTGCACCAGATGCAGAGTGATGACATCATCCGCTCTGCGCAGTCAGTCAGAATTATTCAGGCATTTCTGATCTGACTCCGAGATTCGTTGAAGCGCCTGTAGAGCGCGCTCTCCTCTGCCACCGCTCGCACGCCGAGCAGGCGTTTGTTGGAGGGTCCGCGCTCACTGCTGATGGACGGGAATGTGTCGCTGTCTCGCCTCACAGGAGTATGAACTATTTAAAGGCTTTTGACCGCTTAAGCCCCGAGCCTAACTGATCTCCTGCCTTTTGCCGCCGTATCGGGGCGTTAAGAGTTCGCCTGTTTCTGTGAGATTTAAACTTTAAACATGATCGTGTTGTTCCGATCAGCTGAAAATGAAAACCCGTTACGAGCTGCGAGTCGTTACCTAAATATGGGATCGCAGATACAAGTGGAGGAGGGCTTCTCTGATCAGAAGAGGATGGACGGATGAATGATGGGTGGATGATTCGATTGGTGGCTGACAGAGGGATGGGTGTGAGTGGCTCCTGCTGCTGGAGTTGGTTTAAATGGAGGATTCAGAGGGCGGCGCCGAAGCTACGGTCCCGTCTGGACCTCGCTGCGATTGGGCGAACTGACTCTGAACGCCTTCTGTCTTTGTCTCCGTCCTCAGTACGTGTTTGTGTCCCTGCTGTCCCGAGACAGCGTCTACGACGTCCTCAGGAGGATCTGCACCCACCTGCAGGTCGGTCCACATTCAGCTTCCTGGTAACGAATGTTTGATTCTGGCTCACCTGGCGTCCTCTGTCTGTGCTCAGGTGAACGGGAAGAGTCTGAGTCTGAAGCAGTACCTGGAGGAGCCCAGCTCGCTGTCCATGGTAACAGCCTCGTCGGCAGCTTCTCTGCTTTTTACAAAGGTGTGTCTCTGAACCTGCGTCTCTCTGTCAGGACGAGTTTCCAGAGGTGCTGAAATGGAGACGGAAACCGTCGCTTCCCGCCGTCTCCTCCTCTCTCCCCGATTTGCTGGGAAACTCCACCCCCAGCCTCGCCACCACCACCACCTTCAGTGCTCACACGCTCACAGGTAGCCCCGTGCATCCGCCCGCCCACATTCAAAGGTAAGGATGCGTTTACCCGTGTTCTCTGTCTCGTGCGTGTAGACTGCAGCCTGGAGACGGAGAAGATCCTGCTGACAGAGCCGGTACCTGAACTGGGCCACGCAGAGTACCAGCTGCTCAGACTCTTCATCCTGCTGTGAGTCAGATTAAACAGCATACACAGCCGGTTCTTTTGTCTGCCGATTGAATGCAGAGCGAGGAGGAACCTCCGGCTTTACTGCGCTTCTTCACAGGTGTGTCAGGTGTTTTTTACCTGTCTGTCTCTCTCAGAGTCTTCCTGCTGGTCCTGTCGTCCTGCTATCTGGCCTTCAGGGTTTGTCGTCTGGAGCAGCAGCTCAGCTTCCTGAGCAGCCAGCCGACGCTGAGAGAGAGGTACGCACCTGTGCAGGTGTATTCTCAGAAACTTTTCCCCTCACAGAGCCAAGACTTCAGGTTTTTAAATGATCCTTTTAAATCAGATAAAATCAACACAGCTTGATGCTCTGTGGCTGCATCGTGGAGCACATCCATCACGTATTCACAGAAATTTGCATGCGGCTTTTCCAGGTGTGGAGAAGTGCCCTGCTGGCTGGCGAATCAGAAGACAGGAACCTGATCCTGCAGCCTGTCAGCGTGTGAGCAGAAAGGCTGCTTTTTATAGCGTTAGCTGTTGGTGGTGCAGGAGAAGGCTCTCAGGAGGAGGAAGGAGCTTCATCTGACCCCTGCCAGCACCCGGTTAACATAGAGATGTTACAGTAGTCGACACACGCAGCAGACTAACCTTTGACCTCTGGGACAGAAATGTCGGCGTGTGCATTCCTGGTCAGTCAAAGGTCCCGAGAACTGAAAATGTGTTGTGGGATACCGCACAGAAGTGTTCGACTGTTTTCCATCACGTCACCATCAAGGAGGCGTCTGATTGGCCCACACATCCAGCCTCGCCTCACCGTCAGCTGCTAGAAGCTGGAGAAAAGCCCAGATCCAAGCATCACGATCGAGCTCAGACCCTCATCACAGGACTCAGCCATAAACTGTATATAAAAGACGGACACAGTTACTGTAACGTTTCCCGCCTCCATGTTGGAGTTTTTAAAGCAGAGATGCGCCCCCCTGAATCCCTCCCCCCTCCCCGTGCCCCCTGACTCTGAACGTTGTGTTAAATTAAACCTGAAATCAGTGACTGATGTTTGTGTTTCCTGAAGCCGACTGCCCCCTGCTGGTCATTAGAAAGAATGCAGGTGTGAGGGACCGCGTTGACGTCACAGGATCTGCTGTCTTTTATGTACAGTCTGTTGGCTCGTCACATAGCTCATGTGACCTGGGAAGACGTCGGGATCCCGAGCTGAAGAAGGAGAGCTCAGGGGTGGACGAACAGCTTACAGAGGCACGCAAACACCTGAGTCGACCCGTCAGGTGACACCAGATGAGTAGTTACACGTGTTAGGAAGGTTTCCTGCCATTAATCATCTCCTCAGTGTTACTCAGCATAGAAGCTCAGGATTAATAAACTCTCACATCACTGCAGCATTAATGACAAAAGGTGTTCCTCATTATTTTCTAATATGCACACAAACAGTATCTGACGGCTGGAGAACCTCGCTGCTCACCTTTGCATTCAGAACTGCAGCGACTGATTTCTCCTTTGAGACACAGCGACTGCACCATGATGACATCACCATGATGACATCACCATGATGACATCACGCTGGATTGCTGTGTTACATTAGAGCTGTAGCATCAAGATTTGAACGTTTTTCTTATCATGCAGAGAACCCGAATCCATCTTTGTTTAATAGTATTCGATCAGGCTGATTTGTTGTATGATGAATGTGCACAAAGATCAGCCGCCAGAGGTGGACGTCTTTTTAATAAATCATGTAAACAAGCTGAATTTACTATTAAAGCTGATATTTTCAAATGTGCTGTGCATTATTTCATGACATTATTATCATTGCTCGTGCAGCTCGTTCTGTTGCTGCTCATTTTCAATAATTCCAGGAAATTGGTAAGAAACGGTTTAGTTCATGGCATATTCTATAATTCCACTTTATTATTTCGTGGTAAAATATCACAATTTGTGAGGTGAACATTCTTGAAAAGGCTGATTATTGACCTCTGTGAGGTATGGGAGGTGTAATGGCCTCAGATTTGTAAATATAGTTTGGCCAACCTATAATTTCAGATTCAAAAATAATTTTAAAAAAGGTGTTTTTTCTGTTAAAAAACAACCCATCAAAAAATATGGTTTGTCTCTTTTTGTGAGATATTTTAGTAGCTATGTTCTGCTGGTTGGTGCAAACCTGCTACAACTACTGCAGGAATTTAAAAAATACTTTTAATAAATGAAAAACTCATGCTGAATACTCATCCAGTTTCAGGTAAAACTGAACTTATATAAACTAGAGCAACTCCCTCCATTCTTTTCACGTTAAAATTCAATTTGTTACTAAAGCAATAGATCGAAACCTTGTAAGTTCAGTAAACATTTATTGTTATTAGAAATCATTTGGTAACAGGGTGGTCTGCCTGATATCCTAATTATAATTGATTTCTTATTTACTTTGTATTTTTTATTGAATATTTCTTTGATTTTTTTTACCATATTTATCAAATTGTATTTGTGATCTAATATTAAATATTTGTTAATATTCATATTTACGTTTTTTTTAATATTGACACTAATGTCCTTCCATACTTGGCCTTCTGTTTTGTGGGCGGAATTCGGGGAGATTCGGCGGAGCTCGGCACACTTCGGGCTAAGGTTGTGGCGGGAATCTAGCGGATTCAGCAAGCTAGCAGACTATTTTCATTCAGGTTTGTTTTTATCTAAATAAAGGAGAATTAAAACTAGAACTGCTTTTCGGATTTAGTTAAAATTGAGCCTTGTCCGCTAGTTCGCTTGAAACTAAACAGGTGTTATTAGCAACATTTTTTAATTCTTTAATACCTTATTAAAAAGCTAATTTTATTATTTAAGCTAACATTAGCACTGGGTGGTTTGCCAGCTTTCTTTTTCGTTGTGTAACATTTGGCAGCAGTAAAAGCTAGGAGGATGGCAGCAGCCAGGAAACAGATGAAAAAGAAACTCCTGGAGGAGAGAGCAGATAAAAAGGCTTTTGATTTTACTCCTGAGGCGGAGAAGAAGGAGCTGAGTGGCTCTGAGGATGAAGTCAGACAAGGTGAGCTGGGTCACCCAGATAGCTATAGGAGCTGATTCTAAGGTGTTCAAAGTAAAATATAACCACTTTCTCATGATTTAAGATGAAACTCCAATAGTGGACAAGCTGGTAAAGAAGAGACCGGCTGACTTTGAGGAGGAGGCGGTTCCCTGTGCTATGGGGTATTTATTATTTCTTAATTAATAGTTTTGTCTTTTAAAATAGCTCCTATAGTTTCCCCATATAACAAGATCATGTTTTAAATGTCATGTTTGATGAGCCTAACAGTCCAAAACCTGAAGATATAAAGCTTATTGTTATACTATTAAGATGAAAATGTTCAAATTTGATAAAGTTGATAATGAAACCTTCATTTCATTGGATTTAATGTGTGTTTAACGCCATCAATCTTGGCATGTTTCCCCGTTTTATGTCCAGAAATGAGGTGCAGTCCATGTTGGAGAAGTTTGGAGGTAAGAAGCGGTTTGTATTTAATTTGTTATTGGAAAAATCATTAGGCGTAATGTCATCTTCGGTCCCTGTTAGACTGCTCATGTGTCAATATAACACAACACAACATATTTCAGCATTTTGACCGAAGAAAGTATGAAATGGTTTACAGAAAAGCAGCGGTGTTTCCTCGTGTTTCATTAGCACAGTATCACATATCTGTTTGTCCTCCCAGCTGACATCAGCAAGGTGATGCAGGCCAAGAAGAAACGTCTGGAGTGTCTGACAAAGAACTACATGAAGGGAAGCCAACACAAGCTGGAGCAGCTGTGGAACAACTACCATAGCCAGAGGTTATTCCTGCTCCCTCCACTTCAAACACTCAGAGAAATGGTTGAAATTCAGTCTTAGAACAGTCACCACATCCTTTAAAACGAGCTCCAGAATCACGTCACGACTTCCTGTGAATCACTCAGCGCTTTAAAGTGAAAGACAGGGAAATTAAATCTCTTTAAATATCCTTCAAATCTGAGTTTTTGTCATTTAGTGTCACCAAAAGAGCATGTAGGGAGACATTTACCTGAAAAATAGCCATTTCTGGATTCTCAGCGACTTCACGGCAGCATTGGGGTGAAAAGAAAATTAGGATTTTAAAATGTCTTTAATTTCCTTATGTTTTGTAAAGACTGTGAGAGCCAGAAATAATATTTAAACCTGTTCCATTTTAAAACACTGTAAAAGACTGAAAACAAGAAATAAGTGAAGGTGACACGGGGTTTTTTCAAACAGTTAAGTTTGAAAAAGAAAACGAATAATTAAAAAACATGTAAAATTGTAACAGTTGTGCAGTTAATTAATGAATAGATCAATTAAAAGACTTGACTTCTCCAGTTTATGGCTGACGGTGAGCTCACAGCATTATACAGGCTTCAAATAAGCACCTGTACGGTGAAAGGTGGGCTGGTCAGCCTTTTAATATCAGCAGATGCAGGAGCTGGTTTTTGTTCCGGGACATCGCTTCGCTCTCTGTGCATAACTTTCTGTTTAGCTTTTTTTGTTTCTCAGAGAACGTTCGTGTTATGAAAGCGAGGCGGCGCGCTCGTCCCGTGAAGAAGCGCCGTCTACAGAGCATAAACAAGAACGCTTTAGCCTCACTTTCTCTGTGGGTGGTCGATTCACTTTTAAATAAAGGCGCCTGTTGGCAGCTCTGTAAAGGCAGCGGGCGGGTGTGACCTGTCACAGACGGTGTCCTGCAGAGCGTTCTGGCCTCGGCCAGGATAAACATCAGCTCAGTCAGAACACTGCAGCTCAGCTGCTGATCCCGAGCCTGTGTAAACACAGCACTGTTTGAAAATTTCAGAAATTCGTCTTCAAACTGATGTCACAAAGGTCAGTTATTCGATAACTACATGATTGGAAATCATTTCTGCTGTGTTTGCAGGCAGAAGATGACGCAGCAGTATTCCCAGCAGGTGTCGTCAGCGCTGCAGCAGTGGGAGACCGAAGCCCAGCGAGCCGAGGAGCAGGAGGAGAAGCTCAACGTCAGTCCCCTCCGTTCACTTTAACTGTTTTAGCCTCACGTACTGCACACCGACGGCTTCAGGTGCTTCACCTGTGATGGCGATGAAGGGCCATCGCCGACGTAGACTCTTCCTTTCTGTCTGCAGAATCTGTTCCGGCAGCAGCAGAAGATCCTGCAGCAGGCCAGAGTCGTGCAGAACCAGAAGCTGAAGACCGTCAGAGAGCTGTACGAGCAGTTTGTCAAGGTGAAGCGTGTCAGAAGCAGCTCAATGCAGCTCTGTCCCGGCCTGCACACCAACTCTGTGTTTTTACTCAGAGGTCTCGGGAATAGCCACGCCTGTTTCTCTCTGAAGTGCAATATGTCAAAAACAAGTCCACACTGCACAGCTACAGGGGCCACGATAAGCAGAATTTAAAGGGTGACACCTGCAGACGTCACCTGAGGATGTGTTTCAGTTTGTATTAAAGCTGTGGTTGTGGAAATCTGCCTGAACTGCTTTTCTGTTTTTTGTTTGTTCTGTAGAACATGGAGGACATGGAGAAGAGCCACGAGTCTTTCCTGCAGGGGGCGCAACAAGAGCTGAAAAAGGAGATGGCCTCCCTGCAGAAGAAGATCCTCATGGACACGGTGCGTTCAGCCAGCAGCAAAACATCACATAAGAACAGGAAAGGGAAGTTTGTTCATTAGTAGTTTTTTTCTAAATAAAAGCTCGCAGTATGAATCTGTGAGTGAGGAAGAAGACGAGTGAGGTCACACAGGTTTCTGCCGACTGTCTGAATGTTCAGGACAGAAACGGCAGACGTTCAAAGGGCCAGTTTGATATGAACCCAGACTTTGATCTGATGGGCGATGGAGTTTCTATCATGAGCTTTATTGCTGTCATTTATTTATGTTTCATTTCTCACAGACACATGAAGTGATGAGCTCGTCTCGTTTGTCTGTAAAGAGAGCAGCAGAGAGACTTTTAGCTCCTGTCTTTGCTGTTCCCTGAAAACGTTAAAAACACTGATAAACACGGGTGCTGACTCTGTGATGTCGGTGTGTTTCCACAGCAACAGCAGGAGATGGCCACGGTCCGCAAGTCCCTGCAGTCGATGCTTTTCTAGGCCGCCGCCCTCCGGAGGCTTCAGTTCTGCTCGTTCCTTGCGGTTCTCACAGGTTTCATTAAAACATGAACTGTTCTCGCCCGAGTTCTGATTTCACTGCTGGGTTTGTGGACGAGCGGCTCCAGGCTGAGCTCTGTGATGACGCTGCAGTTTCCATTCATCCTTTCATTCTTTGCTCCTGAAGTTATAAAAATAAAGAACGTGTTGGTGATACAGCGACAGCTTTGATTAGTCTGCTCTTTATTCTCCTCATTACTCGTTTGTTGTGTTAAAAAGCTTTTCGGCAGCGTCCTGAAGCTGTGTGTGAAGAATTTGGTGTTGACTGTGAGGCCAAACGAAGGAAAGCTGGAGCTCATCACTGCGCAGGAGGAGAGGGCAAAACAGCACTCAGCTTTTTAAAATATTTTAATTTGTTCATTTTTTCCTTTTATTTATTTTTTATTTGAATTTTTTGTTCAATATTTGTTCATTTTTACCTTTCAAATGGTTTAATTTCTAAATGTTTTTGTCATTTTGCCTCAGCAACTCACAAGTTTGGGTTTTCTTTCATATATTAAACTCTGGCTTTTTAACCACATAGAGAGGAGAGAGTTTTAAACAGTTTTTGAACAGGTCACATGGGGTGGGGAGGTTCAACACACGCTTTTACCTCCGCTCGCCGGCCTCATCATCTGCTGACCAGGAGAGAAGCCCCCTGTGAAATTCACACCAGCCGACCCTAAAGGAAATCCAGGTGTACTGTACGAGACCACACCCACCCCACCATCACCTGTTCGTCTCCACCTGCCCTTGGGAAGAGAGTGCTCAGTCAAGTTCAGATCACAGCTTCACTGATTCTCACAGATCAGCAAGAACTAAGACAGAGTTTGTGGTAAACATTAAGCTGTTAATGACGAGCTTCTGTACGTGGGAGTCAAGTAACAAAGACCAAGATATCACTGACTGACTGCTTCTTATTTCCTGTTTCTGTATGTGCAGCTAATCCAC